TGAGTGCTAGTTTATTTATTACACTCTTTCTAGCCGTGTAATACTCTTCTGGTGTACTTACTGCTTAATATATGATATATCTGTAAACCTGGTTCAAGATGTTGTGACCAAGTAAATGGTTAAGTAATAGCAAAAACCGGGCCTATTCGATCTACTCACTGTTTACTGTTCCCTGAACCTTCTCTCCTACTAAACTTATAGTAGGCGGAAGAGTCTAACATAGACTCTTAGGAGGAGGACACCACAACAGTCTCTTAGTATTTGGTTTTATTAAAAATTTTGAACATAATATAATTTTAACAAAACACCTATCTCACACACACACAATCTCTCTCTCTCTCTCTCTCTCTCTATATATATATATATATATATATATATATATAATGAAGAGGTAGTCATAGAATGAATTAATCAGTAAAGTTAATGTAGTTAGGGGTGAAATCTCTTTGCTAACAAATTCAATAGGGCATTAACTTACTAACCATTCATTGACGTGATCCTTATGTTTAAAATTGTAAGATGGATTTGATCTTCTGGTGCAGCTATTACTTTCAAAAATCATCACATTTTCATCTTCTGACTTTAATAATTTTTCTTCCCATTTCAGGTAACTCCAAGATGAAAATAAATGTATTGTAGGCCGAAAGATGTTTTTTTTTTTTTTTAAGAGTGTGTTATTTATTAACAATTACGTGATTTCAGAATGTGCCATGTTGCAATACTAGAGTTGTATTTTAAATATTTCAAGTGAGAACACTTTTTTAATATAGTAATGTGGTAAATCTGCAAATTTTTTTTGTTGTGTTTTTCAGTTAATGTGACATGGACAAAATGGTCCAATTATTACTATATTCAAAAAAAATGTTCTCACTTGAAATATTTAAAATAAAACTCTATCATTGCAACACTGCACATTCTAAAATTATGTAACCATTAATAAATAACACAGTCTTAAAAGTAAACATCTTTCAGCCTACAATACATTTTTTTTTTTTGTCTTGGAGTTATCTGAAATGGAAAAAAAATATCAAAGACTGATAATGAAAATATGATGATTTTCAAAAGTACTAGCCACACCGGAAGATCAAATCCATTTTATAATTTTAAACGTAAGGATCACATCATTTAATGAGTGGTTAGTAAATCAATGCCCTATTAAATTTGTTAGCGAAGTGATTTTGCCATTAATTACATTAACTTTACTGATTAATTCTTTGTATGTTTACCTCTTTACAATATTATATATACTGCACTATTTAATATATATATATATATATATATATATATATATATATAAATAATTTTCAATATATATTTATGTGTGTGTTTGTGTGATTGGTGTTTTGTGGAAATTATTTTATGTCCAAATTTTTTACCTAGCTGTAACTGACTGCTGCTATTAACAACACTTTTCTTGCTTTTACTTTCTTGGATTTTTTCTTTAAAAAATTTTTTTATTGCATTTGCTTTTTTTTATATCAGATCAGATTAAATGATATTGAATATTCAAAGAACTTATTTTGTAGATTTAAAGATAGATTAATCAAGGATAATCTCATAACGAGCAAAACTGACATCAATTCTGCAGTGGCGATTGTGAAGAACATGAATCGTCTGCAGCAGAAATTAAGGCTCCTCTGATGTTCTAAGTAAAAAAACTGACATTTTCTTAGCAAGTTCTTATTTATATTTAAGCCTCTCTAGCCAAAAGAGATTGTCACCATGAAAACTAGTGTGTGTTAAGCCAGCATCAACCATAGAATGAATAGATATGTGATTATAAATGATTAAGATTACAAATAAAAATAATGTTAGAACATAAAAAGTAATTCTTTTTAATTTATGGATCAATTCATTTAGTTTGATTCAGATTTGATATGCATGTTTCATTAAGCTGCCTATTTATCACAGGCAGTACAAGATGAGTGACAAAGCCTAAGCTCTTGGTGAGATGCAAACACATTGCATGAGTAAAGTATTGATATGCAAGAACTAAACAGATGAAAGTAAATACTAGTAAAAAATTAATAATAATGGTTGGTAATGCTTTATCTAATAATAAAGATGAAAGTAAATACTAGTCAAAAATTAATAAAAATGGTTGACAATGCTTTATCTAATAATAAAGATGAAAGTAAATACTAGTCAAAAATTAATAAAAATGTTTGGTAATGCTTCATTTAATAAAAAATGAAAGTAAATATTAGTCAAAAATTAATAATGGCTGACAATGCTTCATCCCATAAAACATGAAGATGAATGTAAATATTTGCCAAGAATGAATAATAATGGCTAAAACAAAGATTGAAGTTGAAAGTAACTACTTTCATAATAATGATAAACACGTACTGTACTGCCTAAATCAAAATCCTTTGCAGTAGGAACTTTGGCTCATCCAAGAGTCTAAGAATGCTGTTTTCTCTGTGCAAGTTCTCATTTATATTCAAGACAATGCAATCCAAAAGATGTTACCATGAAAACAGGAAAGCATTAAGTCAGCATCTTTCAAAAGCAAAATTTATCTCACAATAGATTTGGTTGGAAGACAGAGATTTAGCTTAGGTTCTTATTCTGTGCAAATCTCTGGTTTGATGTTAGATTGAGTAATAAGTAATTCAAATAAATCCTGATAATATAAAAACTGCAAAAATACGACAGAAGACATACTTGCAAGGAATGTACTTATTTCTGCCAGGATCATCATTTCCTATCAAGAAGATTGCCAATGTCACAAATAATACACTTGGGAGAGAATACACAAGACAGAGTTAAGAATAAAAATATTAAGGGGAATTAACTCTGTTTACTGCATTTTCATATGCATGTCTTAGATTATCCTTTATTCAGTAATGTCAGAGTACTTATTTTTTACAGTAAGGTTCATCCTTTACAAGACCTGGGGGCCACTCAAAGTAGAGGGTTACATTAGGAGTGGAAGATAGCAGTTGACCCTAGACTTCAACAGGTTAAGATTGTAGTAATCAGTGAAACATCCTCTTGGGAGTTGGTTCCACAGAGCAGTGGTTTGCTGGAAGCTGTTTAAGTTGAACTTGCTTCTCACTGATGGAATACAAAGGGAATATGAGTGATCTGCTACTGTGTAAGTGGCATGGCGTGTCCTTGTCGTGAAGGTTTGTACTGGCAGGATAAGAGAATTTTTTTGTCTGAGCACTTTCCATGGAAGTAGTGACAGAGCAGCAAGAGGCTTGCCACATTCTGTCTTTTGGAGGGTAAAGAATAATTCATCACCCACAAGGACTCAGACACATTTTTGGACTCTATCAAGGCTCACTTTATATTCTGAGAGAAGTGTAATAAATTTTTAACTAATAGAATTATAAGCTGAATTTTGATCTTGAATGCTCACTGTATAATATTCAAATTGTGTGAGTAATGGAGAGGGTTTTTTGTTTGAGGGGGGGGCGTAATTATTTCACCCCAAGCCACAAGGGGTTACTGAGAGTGAAATCTAAATAAGACTTTAGTAAGGAGAAAAGACAATAAAAGAACAGAATTCAGATAATGAAGATTAACATTGCATTTAAATTATTGAAGTGTCTCCGCATCATTGTGGGTGACAAATTGTTTTCAACTCTGCAACCCTTCTCTCACAGATGTAATATGGCAAACCTCTAACTGCTCTATCGCTACTTCCATGGAAAGTGCTCAAAGAAACTGCATTCCTTGTTTCTGTTAATGCTAATCTTCACATCTAGGACCCACCATGCAACTCACATTGTAGTAAACCACCCTTATTCATTCCTTATTCAACTGGTGAGGAGTAAGTTCCACTCAAGCAGCCCCCTCCCACGAATCACTGCTCTGTGGAACCAACTCCCAAGAGGAGCATAAGTAGCAGGGGTGCAAGTAAAAACAATGGTGACTTTTTATTTTATTTTATTTTTTTATTTTTTTTTATTTAAAAAAAAAAAAAAAGAAAAAAAAAGAACAGTGAGTATGGAGTGTTAAAAAGTTTTTTTTAAAAATAGAATCATATTCCCTCAAATTCCAGCTCAACATGCAAAGGCTCAGAATAAACGCTCATATTCCAAACAAACACAAAAATAAGATACAATTTAAATAGTCACACCATGAAGAATGACTAACAACATAAAAAATAAAAACCCCTTGAAAATGGCTATAGAAGTGTCTGAAAATGCTTGGGACAATGAAAATTATGGGAAATTTCTGTACTCCCTTACTTTCACTAAATTGAAAAATATAAGGATGCTGGAAAAACTAAATAAAAAAATTAAATCTTCCATGTCTGCCATATTTAATGAAAGATATTTAAAAGAATGCTTGCTGCCCAAATATACATACAGAGAGAGCATGGACATAAGAATAAACACTGCATGTTGACTGTCAGTTTCATGCCTCAAGCAATCTTCATATTACACAGTCTTTATCTCTAATATTTAACACTCTTTCCCTATAAATATAGCAAATGTTAAACAATATATCTTGGCTTCAGTCACTTTCCCACATAAAAAAGTTGGCTCTCTGTGCCTTTTCTATAAATACTTTCAGGGTAATTCTTTGCTATGTTACCTCGACATTTTTAATTTAAGCGCAGTACTAGACTAGCATCGAGATCTCATCAATTTACAGTTGAGCTAACTAGATGTAGCTGTAAGTTCTATGCTAACAGTTTCTTTTCTCGCACTTCTTGCTTGTGGCTCTATGCTTTCCAACCAAGTTTAATCTGCAAAAATTTAAATGCAATGTCAATTGCAATCTACTGTCCTCCTGATTACTCTTTCCCCTTCCCGCTAATTATTAATGTTTCTGTTCCTAATTCTTCCACATTCTGTAACCTCTGGTGTCTTAGTGGCTTTACTGCCTTTCATGGGTGATACTGATTATTTTTTTAAATTTTGAGTTTGCTTGTGTATGCATAAAATGAATATTATATATAAGCATAAATTTATATTATTGTAAATGTATATATAATTTTGATATTGCATAACTTTTACAAATCTATATATTTTTTCTTCCAGCATGTGATATGAACATTCACAAAAAATGTCAAAAAAACGTTCCCCAATTGTGTGGTATTGACCACACAGAGAGACGTGGGCGGATCAAGCTTACAGTAACTTCTGAGAGGAATAAACTCATGGTTAAAGGTAAGTAATTCCAAATACTATGTAACTCTATACTACCTACCACATAGAAGGGTCACAGGTGAGTCAAATGGTTCCCCTGCCAGGCTTTTCTGGTGAAGAAGATGGTTAGACACCTGTCATGATAAAAAAAAAAAAAAAAACAAGACTTACTAAAGGGTAGATGAACCTAGTTTTTAGGGTCAATGGTTATCTAGCATTAGACTAGGCTCCATAGTTATGTATGGGTTGACTGGACAGAGGGGATCCTAGACTGAAATCAATGGATATGGCAGACAGGTCCCCCAATGGAATCAATGGCTATGTGTCTGTGACCAAAGCAAGCCTTCAAGCTTGAGGGTATCAACTGTAGTTTGGTTTGGAGAGGGACAAGTTCCGCCAGGTCTACTTGCCCAACATGTTATATATGAATAAATACCTCACCATTTTTCAACCCAAATATGTAGAGGGAACTGATCAGATGCTCAACTATGCAGCAACCTTATGACTACAACCAGTCATGGTGTGATACTATGGATGCCCACAGGGGAAGAGATAGTTTTATCTCAATCTCAAGTGTTTCTTCTTTGTGGACCAGTGGATGATTCCTTTTTAATTTTGGTCTTTTAATTGGTATTCACTTTGACCAAAGAGCAGCACAGAAGCAAAGGGATGGATAAGAGATTTTTTGGCAACAAAACTGGAAATGGGGTATATCCAGGTGCTGGTCTATATTGCTTGGGATCAGAAAAATTTCTGATTCACTCTTGGTAGGAAACGCAGTTTTAAACCCTCCATATCATATTGCCATTCACCATGTTGTGTTGAGTAGATGGGTGTTGTAGCATACCTACAGACGATAATCGGTATGTCTTCATTCACATAAATACAGTAGTAAATACTGTATGTTGGTCTGCAGTCCATTCACCAATGGAATACACAGGAAATGTAGGTCATTTGCTACTATGCAAGTGGCATGGAAGGTTAGGCTTGGCAGAACAAAGGAATGTAGTGCATCCGAGCGCTTTGCATGAAAGTAGTGAGCGATACTGAGAGGCCTGCTACATCCCACCAAGTCAAAATAAGTTTGTTTGTTTTTTTAATTTTTTTCTAATCTTGTTATTTTTAATATATGTATATACAAATAAAATAAAAGGCAAAAGAAAAACTTTTCTCTATCAACACGTTTCACTCCTTGAGGAACTTCATCAGGGTAAATGTAGAGATTTTATTTTATAACTTTTATTTCAGTAACACGGAGGAAAAATAAAAAAAAAAAAATTAAGTTTTCAAATTTTGAATTTGAGAACACTCTAAAATATTGTATAAATGAATAATATGAAATAAATAAATGTTGAAGCCTACCTACGGACAATTATGGATATGTCCCCATTCACATAAATATGGTAGTAAATACTGTATGTTGGTCTGCAGGTGGAGATTCATTGTGGAATTCACTTGACTCACTTCTGGCAGTTGATTACTTCTACATGCCGCTTGTAGATCTTATATGTGTTGTTCTTATTATTGCTCATTACCAACCTTTGTGTGATTATTCTATTCAGTAACCTTCCCTAGGGCAAGGAGTTGATAAGGGGAAGAGCTGACATAGAAGAAGTCGCCCCAAGTAGCCCCTACCTACCCACCCAGACAAGCAGGTGAAGCCCTGAATAAAACGTCTGCATATAATCTAGAAAACAGGCTTTGTGTTCTTATTTCTTGATGTAGCCTTTGTCTTTTATCGTGTTAACTTGTGATCATGCAGCATGCTGTTCCATAGTATTTGGTGTGCACTGACAAGATTGACGATCAGAAACCCTCCCTAACATATGATTCCCTCTGTCTGTTCTACAAATATTTTCATGGCAACTGCTCTGATAAGTTTATTTCCCTGGTGCTCTGAATACATGAATTTAAGTGTGCTACTAGCTTGGCAACTAGATCACACCCTTTTATTGTTGAAATAATGAAATGCAACCACCACTTCTACTCCAATAGTTTCTTTTCTCGCACTTCCTGCTTGTGGAACTCTCTTTTGTTTACTTGCTTCCCTGATAAACACAATCTTCAAAAATTTGAATGCAACATCAATCACCATTTTCTGTCTTCTTGAGCTTGATTCATCTTTATTCCTTTCCTCAATCCTCCCTATTTTCAGTCTTCTCTTTCACTTTACTACCTGTAACCCTTTGCATACTAGTGGCATTCCTGCCTTCCTTGGGGTGAAATGATTAAAAAGAAAAATATATAAATATCCACTGCAATGAGCATTGTGATACTTTCTACAGCTTTGAGGAGTTTCATTAACATTTTTTTAATATAAATCAGATAAGGGAAGACCCTGAAAAACAAAAAAATATTTGCTGAATTTTTATTAGTTTCTAGTAGTGTATATTTTCTTAATTTTATAATTATTAACAAAAATTGTTTTTTTGTCAATACTTGCAATACTGACCCTAACTGTAGAACTGAAGTTTATATATATATATATATATATATGGTTTTGTTTGTTCTTTAATATGGTAGGGGCAGTATTATTTATTACCGCCATTTGGCATGTTTTACTACATCATAAAGTCAGTTTATGAACCAGTAACAGACTTTTACCAAACAATTTTGGTATGCTTTTGAATATTTACTATACAGGTGGGCAGTGGAAAATTTTTCCATGTGAATGTGGGCAATGATACAAAAAAAGGTTGGGATCCCCTGGTCTAGTCCTTTCATATTTTTTTCCTATTTACGATTCAGGTGTTTCTTCATTAAAACCAGTCATTTTAATACTGGGTGCGATGGATAAATTGTCGTCTAAATTACACAAAAAAATGAAAATAACACTGACATCGCATTTTGACAGATATATTCACTAAAATTACACAAAAATATCTTGAAATGCTAAAGAGTAAATTTGTCTATATTTCTGAGATGAGGTATTATGTACATTATTTACAATGCTCAGACTATTGTCCTCATCTTTGTCACCATATTTATTACAACGTTTCGGCCGTTGTACACTCCGGCCTTCTTCAGGTGGTTGGAATGTCGAACTTGAGGACACATGGCACAGTGGATAAATTAGATCCAGTGATAGGACCCAAAGAGTGTGAGTTCAATACCCGGTTAAGGCAGTGGAGACCTTTCAGAGGGAAATTAACAGGAGATAACTGATAACTGATGTCCATCAAACATGGCCCGTGGAACTAGAACAGTCTACCACAGTGAGCGAAATAAAGGGTTCAGTTCAACATTCCAACCACCTGAAGAAGGCTGGAGCATACAATGGCTGAAACGTTGTAATAAATATGGCGACAAAGATGAGGACAATAGTCCGTGTAATGTAAATAATGAAGAGTAGCCTCCAGACAACTTCGGAATCACCTGCAACTCTTCTGGGCAGTCCCCTTGTTTAAATTGGTGAATGCTACCATAATCCTTGCCTTCAGTTCATCTTTGGCATTACAAAGACTTTTCTTGGTCTTTCGTTCAACTGCACCCCACACATAATAATCAAGGGGATTACAATTTGGGGAGATAGACAGCCAGATGTAAGGAGTGATGTGGTCACAAAAAATTGTTTGATAACCATGACTGTGTTCTTCTGCTTGCGTGGCATAATGCAGAGTCTTGTTGTCAGATATAGTCTTCTAACAGCTACTCTCTTGACCCAGGACAGCACTATTTCTTCAAGGCACTTGATGTAGGCCTCCATGTTGAGTCTTGAGGCCCTATGGGAAGATGAATGGAGGCATAACATTGCAGTCACTAGGGATCACTCCAAACACCATCTTAATCACCATTAGAACACATTCTCATTGAATGTACTGACCTAGCCCATATAAGAGAAACGCTTTATAGTGCAAGTAACATGAAGGAACTGTTCCAAAATACTGACATGGATAACATAATATCGTTCCTGAAAGCAGTCAATTTGTACCAAAAATCTAAAAACATAAAAAAAGTTGGGAGTTTTCTGCAAACTTTTGCTGCAAGGAATGTTTTCAACAAAATCTGATTCTTTCTGCATACCATTTCTCAAAAAGGAAGAAACTTCCTACGATACAATTCTCTACAAAAAATTTTTTTGACAGAACCAGATTTTTTTCACAAACCATTTCATTTCTAAAAACCTTTTTCAGCATGGCAAACCTCTCCGTTTGTGGAAATGGAAGGGACTATTATATTGGAAAATAATATTCCAATAATAACCTGATTTGACATTAAATGACTGAGGAGGTCAATATGTCGTAAAACACAAACAAACAAACAAACAAACAATTAATCACCATTAGACTCATCCAACTCTTTCTGAATCCTCTGCACTGTCCTCAAATTGACACTCAAATACTCTGAAATGTTTGTATTGGAGTTTCCAGTGCAAATGCCAAGCAATACAGTATGCGCTTTCCAAGTTTCTGGTGTTGTGAATTGCGTCATGGTGCTCTTTTTCTTACAGACGGCGCCCAACTGACCGTACTATATTGTACAGTCAACAAAAATCAAAAACAAACAACGCACATGTGCGAATTTAAAAATACAAAATGGCGACAATTTACCCATTGCACCGTGTATAATCTTTTAGATGCTATTTTTTTTCTTTGTTTCAGTTAAATGTATTTTACTGTATGTCTTTTCATTTTAAATGCTAATTTTTTTAATATCCTATTCTTAATTTTCTATTTCTCTACATTTTATTCTTCCTTCCTTAAGATATTTGTAGCCACCATCACTCCTTAAAGCCATTATTGGTTTTTTTTAATACCTGATTGTTTTGTCTGTTTTTGTTTTTTTTTTATTTGTTTTTTGTAGAATTTGAGTAAAGAACTCCCTAACTTCTTATTTTTCCATCTTTCCTCCCAAAAATTGCTTTGGAAATATTGATTTTGCAAATAATCTTTTTAGGATAAGAATGATCCCACTGCACATGGACGTTTTTTTTTTTTTTCCTTTTTTGTTTTTTTTCGGGGGTCCTTTTTTTTTTTTTTTTTTTTTTTTTTTTTTTTTTTTTTCCTTTTTGTTTTTTTTCC